TTCGGATGCTTAGCGAGCCAGACGAAATCCTCTACGCCAAAAACACATACCATGTGACGATAACGCTGTGAACGGCATCTCAATTTGTTACCGGTGGTCCATGTGTCTATCCTGAAACGAAGCTACTCGAAGCGGTCCCGCACAATTCTCGCAGTGGTACTGGCGTAAAGTTCAGTGTTATACGTACGTCCACTGCGGAGTTACAATTAACTGGGCGCCGCTTTGGGTTACGGTAGCGTGGCGGTAATACTGAAGTTAGCTTCTTATTTATTTATTTAGTACGCTGTTTAAGACTTCTTGTAACTTGTGCTCTCACAGACCATACTGAACTGGACTTCGCACTAAGTCCATAAATTAGGATTCCTCCGTCTGCCATCCACTGCGTCCATATTTGAACGCACGTTTCGCGGTTGTGAGTCGTACGTAGCGAACCTCACAACGAGGTTTAATTCCCTAGTGAAGAAAAAAAAAGAAGAAAACGATAAAGAAGGGAGAAAGAAGTATAAAAGGCAGCTACAACTCAGAACAGATCGATAAGGTGTGAAAAATTCTCAAGTATTTGCTTCTCATACTGAATTCATAGCTTGTATCTCTAGTTAGGAATTGTGCTTCCACAAAGCTTCAGTTTTGTCCCTCACTTTTGCCTTACGCCTAGTTATTCGTAACACGCATTAGGTTTCAGCGGCACATTTATCTGTTAAACAAACATCCATTATGTCGTCAGCATATAAACGGACCTTGTTATGAAACCAGTCATTTTTCCATTTTTCACACAATCCCCAGTGAATCTTCCGGGCATATTGAGACTATCGCTCACTTGCAGCGACGGAATGAGAACCTCATCAACACCGACAACCTAAACAGATGATCCTACTCCTGTCACTATCACGCGAAGTCACAAATGAAACCATCCGTGCAGTCATTGCAGAGAAAGGTAAGTTTCTGGCTCAGTTGAATAATAGACCAGTTCCTCTTATTTCAGCAAAGAGTACTGTAGCTGTAGCACATCCGGATAAACATACTTGGCGATCAAGCTGTTCGAATGTTCTGCTGAGATCTATTGTGTTTACCATCCAATCAACGGCAGCACGTGATAGCGAGGCTTGCACCGCTCCTCGCGCAAACGTCAGCGATGCGTTCAACTGAGATGGCGTCAGTCGCTCCTCTGAATTAGTCATCTCCAGAAACAAGACAAACTTGGAGAAAATTTTGCATGATCTGAAAAAGCCAAAACAAGGTTTTTTGTTGTTTCATTACTAGGCGACAGTGATGGATCCCCAAAAAGATAATGTCACCTCTGATCAGGTTTAAGAAATTTTCAGGTGATTTGAAGATATTCGCATAGAGAAGACGTGGTAACGATAAATGCAACTTCCCATACCAACAAAAAAATCTCATCTCGATTCTACCATTTCCAGCGATTATCTGTTTTCAGTTAGTGCTAGAAATATGCCGCTGGTGGAATCGGAGAAAGGGCAGATAGTTGCAAAAGTAAGCAAGGGTGTTCAGAAATTCAGGTCGGAATCCCTAGTATTTTGGAATATCTTACACAGACCAGACGTCCTTCTTTACTTTTCCACTGGCGGCATGTTCATAGTACTAACTGAAAACAGATAATCGCTGGAAATGGTAGAATCGAGTTGAAATTTTTTTTTCGTTGGTATGGGAAGTTGCATTTATCGTTACCACGTCTTCTCTATGCGAATATGTTGGAAATCACCTGAAAATTTCTTAAACCTGATCAGAGG